AATTTGGTCCCTCAGGGAGTTTGGATGTCTCTATGGAGCTTCCATGACCTTGCCTTGTACAAGTTGTGCTGGCTTCCCCAGTATTGTGTAGTGTCTTACCCTTCACCAAAGATTACCACTTATCTACACTTTAGTTTTAACAATGGTCATCACTAGTGGAATTATCAGTGATTTCCTTCCCTTTTTTATGTGTCTTTTGAAATCACCACACTATTTTGGTTGTTTAAAAAATATTAAACAATTTAGGTTTAAAGGAAAATCTTCCTATTGAAATGGATTTATGAACTATAACCAGTGACTTGACAACATGAATAGAGCAGGAACTAATTTCAACTTAACTTGTAAAGAAGTCAAAGCAATTTATCATTTTAACTCTACAATTAGATTTTTTTTCTTTTTAACCAGAGAACTACTTAGTCAGCTAGCCACTGAATTAATAGCAGAAAAAATGTAAACCCTTAACCAAGCTGTTAACTAATTCCCACATCTTTATCACAAATCACCTTTCTGACCCTTAAAAGCAACTCTTTCATTTCACTAATATAGGCATTATAATCAGATCAACTGGATAAGAAAACTATCTTCAGTGTTTATCTCCACTAAAAAAGAAAAATCTTTGTCTTTTAACTAAGCAATTAACCAGTAAATCTCTTAAGTCTGAAAAAATTTTATTCAGTTTTTATAACAAATGTGAATATAGATACAAGTCACTTAAGAAAGCAAATTGATAGCAGTTTTATGAAATAAGTACTATGATTATAAGGCCTTTAGAAGAATTTAATGTAAATTAGAAATTAAGAGTAGAAAAATTGCTTCAGAATTCAGGTAGCTTTATTATTTAAAAACCTATAAATTGACCGAACTAATGAAATTCCAAAAATTAGGTGTAAAAATATCCTCCATCACCTATATTATACCACCTGTATTTCAAAGATATTCCAACATTTCATATTTTCTTAACTAATTCCACTTTGTATTTTTCCTTTTAAAAGCGTGTTCTCCATAACATTGCAAAAGCTGCAATGTAAATTTAGCTTTAAAAAAATCAAAATGGCAACAGTATTTTTTTCTTTGTTTAGTACACTGCAGTTAAGCATCTTTCCTTAACTTTACTTCCTTACTGAGTTTCTTAAATACTTTCTATTTAAAATAAAAAGCCATTCAATGGAACCAATACTATTTTCAAAGCTTTCTAAAAGGAAAGCAACAATGAGTTCTCTGAGAAGAATCATAGCTAGTAACCTGGAGACCACCTGGAAAAGAGGGGCTGTCAGATAATGCAAGAAACAATGGACAGTATTTAAGGATGTGTTGTTGTTAGGTGCTGTTAAGTCAGTTCCAACTCACAGCAACCCTATGTACAACAGAACAAAACACTACCCAGTCATATGCCTTCCTCACAATCATTGCTATGCTTGAGCCCACTGCTGCAGCCACTGTGTCAATCCATTTTGGCAAGGGTCTCCTCTTTGTCACTGACCTTACTAAGGATGATGTCCTTCTCCAGGGACTGCTCCCTCCTGATAATATGTCCAAAGTAAATGAGATGAAGTCTCGCCATCCTCATTTCTAAGGAGCATTCTGGCTGTACTTCTTCCAAGACAGACTTGTTCATTCTTCTGGCAGTCGATGGTATATTCAATATTCTTCACCAACACCATAATTCAAAGGCATCAATTCTTTGGTCTTCCTTATTCATTGCCCAGCTTTCACATATATATGAGTCAACTGAAAATATCATGCCCTGGGTCAGGCACATTTTAGTCCTCAAAGTGACATCTTTGCTTTTCAACACTTTAAAGAGGTCTTTTCCAGCAAATTTGCCAAATGCAATATGTCATTTGATTTCTTGACTGCTGCTTTCACACGCGTTGACTATGGATCCAAGCAAAATGAAATCCTTGACAACCTCAGTATTTCCTCCATTTATCATGATGTTGGCTTATTGGTTCAGTTGTGAGGATTTCTGTTTCCTTTATGTTGAGGTGTGATCCATACTGAAGGCTGTAGTCTTTGATCTTCCTTGAATGCCTCTTGGTCTATGTACAAGTTCCTCATGAGCACAATTAAGTGTTTTGGAATTACCATTCTTCACGATGTTATCCATAATTTGTTATGATCCACACAGTCGAATGCCTTTGCATAGTCAATAAGACATAGGTAAACATCTTTCTGGTA